TTTAGGGTTTAGGGGTTTGGGGCAATGTAGGGTTTAGGGTATTAGGACATGCACGAGTTCCTGGCAGGAGGTTGAAGCTTACCGGAAGGGCGGACACAGGCGCATGTTGGGAGGGGCATCCACAGTTGCCCTACAAACTTGTGACGACTTGGTCGCTTGCAGGTTCTTCCAGATTGCAGTGATGTCATACTTCTGTTTTCAGTTCACTCTCGTCGGCATCCTAGCACAGTGTGATGTGCTCCTATAGGCTGAGCTGCGACGGCCTTCCGCCCGGATGACCTGCATGGCGGAATCCAGAAGACCAGTGAACTAATGAGGAAGGGGTGGGGCACCTTTGTAGAACAGCTTCAGGTGTTTGCGGCCGTGTTTTTCGTGAACAAAGTGGCCCAGCTAGAGCCTGAGATGGATTCGGGTCGACTTCATGGAGCTGTCATGCATTCTTCCGACCGAGGTGGTGACCTTGGTCTTGGCATTTCGGAGACGTAGCGCAGCACAGCTCGAAAACGAGACGTGCTAAGTGCGTGATGGGCCCTTGCGTAGAACTTCCGACTCCGATTCCAAAGAGACATCAGAGGCCCCACTCATCCCCACTCCAACTCCAAAGGAAGCTTGCCAGGTGCGGGGTCTGCTGGGAGCCTCGCCGAGACGCTGACGGCAGCTTGCGGAAGCCACCCCGCCTTCCGCCCCTCGGACGCCTTTTTTTGGGAGCTAAGGGGTGTGTTTTTCCATGGCCCCGAGCTTGCCAATAGGGCCTGCCAAGGCCAAGTCAAGCTTTGAGCCCTCTGCGGAGATACTGCAAGGAACGCTGGGCCGGGACATGAGCCGTCTCGCTCCACATGGGTCTAGTGAAGAGTTCTTAAGTCCCCGAGTTCCTGATTCACCCGAGGCCGTGCCAGCGGTCGCGACGGCAGGTCCTCCGATGGTTTGTCAGACTCACTCTGTTCTCAGGTGGTGGTCTAGAGTCTAGGGTTCGGGCTTCAGGGGCTTAGGGTGCAGGGCAGAAGTAGGCAAGCATAGGAACGCTAGTCCCTAAACCCTAAACTCTAAACCTAAACCCCTAAAATCCCTAATCCCTTAAGCCCTGAAGCCCTAAACCCTAAACGGTCTAGGCCAGCAGAATTCCACGCGGTGCTTGCGGTAGCTGCAGTCCTTGTCGTGCGTCGCACGTCGGAGCCGAAGCCGAAGAAGCCTCAGTAGAAGCAGTACTGGTAATGGTCATAGCAGTAGGAGGAGAAGCAGTTGTACTAGTAATAATAGTAGTAGTAGTAAGAGGAGGAGGAGGAGTAGAAGGAGTAGAAGGAGTAGGAATAGGAATAGGAGGGCGAGGAGAAAGGAGAAGGAGAAGGAGGGGAAGGAGAAGGAGGAAGGAGGAGCAGCAGGAGCAGAGCAGTAGTAGTAGTCGCAGTAGGCAGCAGCAGGACGAGGAGGAGGAGTAGCAGCGGTGTGATCGGCAGCGGCAGCTTGTGCAAAAATACGACCTAGTCAGAGCATGGAAGCAAGATGCTAGTCTTGCGATTTCTGAGTGTCACTGTGCCATTGCTTTCCAGCCACCTCTTTGGTGTGAAGCACTTCGCGGGAGAAGTTTTCTACGAGGCCGGACCCCATCTGCGGTCACGTTCTGCTCTCGTTCTTGGTGTAAAGGGTCATCATACCCTGAACCCTAAACCCTAAAACCCTAGCGCCCTAAACCCTTACTTTAACCCTAAAGCCCTAAACCCTCACACCCTAAGCCCTAAACCCCCCAAGCCAAACCCTAAAACCCCAACCCTGAAACCCTAAACCCTAAACCCCTAAACCCTAAAGCCTAAAGCCCTAAAGCCCCAAGGCCTTGAACCCCTAAGGCCCTGAGCCCCTAAGGCCCTCAAGCCCCAGGCCCTAAACCCTAAGGCCCTACAAACCCTAAACCCCAAATCCCTAAAGCCCTAAAGCCCTAGCTGTAAAGCCCTGAACCCTCAAACCCTGAAGCCCTAACACCCCGAAGCCCTGGGCCGGTTTTCAGGCGGCGCATTTTGTTCGCAAGAACGCCAGCGCCCACCGTCCGGACATTTGCACCTTCCTGAGGACCGGGCTCCTGATGCCTACTATTTTCTAGTTTTCTAGTTTTGGGTTGTCATTAGGCTTATTGTTGTTATAATCCTATTAAGTAAGTATTATTGTTATTGTTGTTATGAATGTTAGTGTTACCATGACTAGTACTGTGATGATGGTTATTACTGTATCATTACGACTACTCCTCCTCCTCCTACTACTACTACTACTACTACTATTGCTACGACAATTATTACTGTTTTTACCCCAACTACTGAACTAGCAAGGCTTTTGTTTCAGCCACTGTGGCGCCGCTGACTTGCAGGGAGCATGGAGGCAGCTTCGTTCGACAGGCCATTCGCAAAGTGCACGCATCGAGCTTCATTGAAGTCGGCCAGTAGGGTGGGCCGAAGTACTTTCTGACCTTGCCAGATGATCACCACGGATGAGTCGAAGCATCTGGCAGCAAGGCGCAATCAGCGATTTTTTCCATGGGTCATGCAGGTGCAGTCGGCCTTTCATGAGCCGGGTAGTCTGTCCATCCAATAGGCCTAGTGTCGCTTCAGAAGGTGGTTCAACCCGTTGTTGCCGATGTATTCGGCATCTGTCAGGGGCGGACGAAAGCTGTTTGGGCGCACGCTCATCAACATCTTTCAGCAGGCTTGACGAAAGTTTCATCGGCAAGTTTTCCAGGTATTGAAATTGCAGAATCGCCTTGACCCCAGATGAAGCTGCCTTACCGGAAGCCTTATGAAAGATTCCCTCCTGCATCAAGCCAAGCATGTGTCCATCACGATTGTTCCGCTTTGTGCAAGGAGCTGAATGAGCTTTGCAACACACTTGAAGCACGAGACTGCCGGGGCCTCAGGATCCAAGAGAGAATGGGGCAATGTCCTTTCTCCCGGGCAGCTTCATGATGAAAAGGCCGACACATCCGTTGCCTTCGGCCAAACGATGACCAGGCGGGAGCTCGGGGTGAAGCGTTTTCTGTGGTCTTCCTGTACCCATGACATGATATACAAGCGTTCCCATGTCTTTGCGAGAAACCCCTGTTCTTCGACGACCAGTCCATGCTGCGGCAGTGTCGCTACAGTGGCTTGCTGGAGGCTCTGGGTGGAATAATAGCCCTTTCAGACAGTCTTGTAGATTGCGGTACCTTCGAGTAACCCTTACAGCAAACCTTACGGCAATCGTTATCGTACCTGTGAAGCGTGGCCAGCTGCCAGTGTGACTATGCTGACTCTCCCCAAGCATCGACTTTCCGCCCATCCTCGACTTGCTCTGTATCTATTATTCTTGCTACTACTGATCTTAATGATCTCGTTATTTTTCTTGTTCCTGTCATTATTATTATTATTATCATTTGCTATTCTGATCTTTGTTCGTATTATGATTCTTGTTGTTATTACTATAATGTTATTTTTATTGCTATTGGTTATTAGTATTATGTTTATGCATTATCATTATGAATAGCTTTTGTTATTATAAATATTCGTTGTATTCGTTATTAGTATTATTACTTCTATTATCCTTATTGTTTTATTGCTATTGCCAGCATTGTCATTTATTATTATTTTAGTGTTCTCAGTATTCTCATTACTGTTAATATTATTTCGGTTCTGTATGAATACTGTTAAGTCTTGATTACATTTTGCTCTGAGTTTCAGTGGCCAGGCGACACGGATCCGAAGGCAAGGCTACGCACATCGGAGATCGCTCTCGCATTTTGCTTCAAGGCCCGGCCAGAATGCTTTCAGAACCTGAACCCTAACAACCCCATCTGTGGGTGGTTCTCTACCCATCTCCAAACCCCAAGCGGTCCAGACACTGCGTTGGGCCTTCAGGTACGCCATGTTGTTAGCTGCTCCAGAGGTGCGGTGCTTCTGAGTTTCTGCCGTCATCGACTTTGGGTTAAGGGTTTACGGTTCAGGGTTGTCTGCAGGCTCGTCGAAGAGCTCGCCACACCATGGCCGACACCTCGGGCATGGGAAGGGAAGTCTCGCAAGAGTCTCAAGGACCACGCCGCTGTGTGATTTCGCGCTTGTCAGGACGCATCTGCCTGCGCTGCCATCAGCGAGGCATGGCAGCGACAGTAGTTTGTGCATGTGTTTGTGCGTGGATGTCTATACATACATATACACATACACACATGTTGCATTATTACATATACATATACATAGTATACATATACATCGTATGCATATACATACATATCTATACATATATATATATACTTATTTATTTATTTCTTTATATGTATGTATGTGATTGCATGCACACTTTGCATAAAGAAAGCTGTTAATGAATGATTGATGGGTTGGTACATAGATGGGTAGGTAGATAGATGGACAGACCGATTAACTGATTTGTTGATAGTGAGCTAGATAGGTAGATAGATGGATAGATAGAAAGACAGATAGATGGGCAGATTGATTGGGTCAAAGAAAGCATGGACGGATGGATGACTGAATGCCTAACTGAATGACTTAATGACTGAATGCCTGACTTGACTGACTGAATGAATGAAGACATTGATGATTGAACTGATTGAAAGCTGAAGGCTATCATGTACTCATATCGGTACTTGCCTGCATGCATGCTCGTGAGTCGCTCCCCCAGGTGGCAGCCCTAGGCGGCGTCTCCTGTGACGACGTGCGGATCGGCCTGACCAAGGTGTCGAATCTAGCGGTACGAAGCTGTGTGCATCCTTCGAAATCAGGGCTGTTGCCTGGAATTCAGGGAAACATGATCTGAGAGCCGCAAGATACGAGTAGGTGTTGAGTGAGAATGAGCAAGCCCGAGTATGCCCCGATTCGACCGAATCTGCATGCGGCAGTTGTGATTGCTTTGGGGATTGGGGAGCTTAGGGGATGCGGCAAGTGTTGCTTTGTAGCACATTTCGATGTAGAGTCGGGCCAGACGTAATGCAATGTCTTGGCAGCTTCCTATGGGTGGTGACGGTGTGGAGCTATGGAAGGGCGGAGGTGTGTGGCGGTGGAATCTGTGCCGAATCTGCTCATTCCGAGCAGGTTTTTATGCGTGAACCTGCGCTGGCATGGTTTGAGAGCAGAAGGCGCGACTGCTGAAACACACAGCGAGACGAAGTCATAAGTGTTGTATCAATAATTCCCACTGCTCTTGCCATCCCTGTCTGAGAATTAGTTTTTCCCTACCGTCACCACTAGCACCGGCATCACCACTGCCCAATTCCTCTAAGGAAGCCGTTCAGAATCTAGGGCGACTCTACTTTGGCCTGCTTGTGGCAGATTTAAACGAGATTGCTGTGTCATGTCGCTGTCCCTCTTCTTCTCCTTATTCTTATGTTGTGTACATGTAGATACGTCTTCTGGCCGCACCGCAATTCTGGACAACGCTGGAGATGCCACGCTTTCGGAAAGCATTTCCAAAGCCTTAAGTTGAAAGTTGAAAGTTTCCGACAAGCACATGACAACCCGGCAGTGTCGAGGTCTGAGGCATCCGCCTCTGTCTCCCGTTCCCAAGCCATCTGCTTGAGAGGTCAGACTGAGGACTCGGAAAGGTCCCCACCAAGAGTTTCCCATGCATGACCTGTACGGCTACCTGATGCCTGCTACTGCGAGTAGAACTCTGGAGTGGTTTCAGTGTCATTACAAGACCTTCCCCGGCTGCCTGATGCTGCTTGAACCTGACTTCCATCATCTGCCAGATCCCTCCGTGCATCCATCGTCATCATCGCCACACTCAGATGCCACGGTGCTCGGTGGGGCCCTGAGGATAAATTGTCAGTGAAGCATGGGGTCGCAGGCACGCCTATCCAGTGGGCAGCGTCTGTTCGCAAGCTTGTAAGAGACAGATGGATCGCCGATTAGTCAGAGGAGAGAGAGAGAGAGAGAGAGAGAGGGCGCGAGTTGCATCGGAGGCGCGACATTAAACCCTAAATCTTATATCCTAAGCCCCAAATCCCTACTAGGAGTCGATACCGTATACCCGAAAAGACCCTACACCCCTCAGCCCCGAGCCCCTAAATCGCTAAACCCTGCCGTTTGCGGTTCTGGCAGTCGAACACCGTGAGAGAGTTGGGGTGGCTGCTTGAGGCGCGCCTATCAGCGGCTGCGCCGCAGCGTGAAGAAACTGCAGGCTGCCTGTCTGGCTCAGGGTTTGGGGTCTGGAGATGTTGGTGCTTTTTGGGTGTAGTGTAGGATTTTGGGATCGATCATGCGCTTCTTTCGCTGGTGAAGTTGAGATATCTTGACCCGATGAGCAGGACTGCTCTGTGATTGCTTACTACAGAATGGCGGCTATACAATGCTATACCATCTTGTCAAGACCGTGCGTAGCTGCCGTTTGCCTGAGTTGGTGTAGAGACTTCTTGTGTAGCTCTGTGCATTGTTTTAAAACTTTACACTTGCTGTTTCATCGTGTCTGTACCATCGTGCATTGCGCTATCCCACTCTTCCCTCTGCTTAATTAAGTGTGTTGATCCTGCAGGGGGACACCGCATCCTTCACTATGCTTTGCATGGTATGACACTTTTCGTGATGTTTCGCTTAGACACTTTGTACTGTACAGTCCTTTCGACTAAACTGAACCCTTAATTTCCTAAACTCCTGAACACTCCTAAACACCTAAACCCCCAAACACCTAAATCCCTTAAGCCCCTGAATCCCTAAACCCTACATGTTGCCAGGCTATTGCCAGAGGTTGCGCCGCACGACGGCTCGTGAGAACCCCGGATTCCTCCCCTTCAGGTTTTATCCATGGATACAGTGATAATTATAGCAGCTGTCATGACACGCTCACAGTCTTTCTTGATGGGGCAGTGCAAACTGGAAAGACGGCAGCACCTGTCGCAGCAGCAGCAGCAGCAGCAGCAGCAGCAGCAGCATGAGCATGCAAGCCAGCAGTCGTCGCAACATGTTGAAGTGGGTGCACGATTTCGTCTTTCGACGATGCAGCTTCCGCACAGGGTGAAAAACCCTAGGCTTCTCTGCTTGCAGCTGAGCGAGCGCGACATCAGGCTCGCACCCTCCCTTGACTGGTGCTCCTGCCGGGCACAGCCATGTTGGACGTGTGTACACACATGTCTCTGTGTATATATATATATGTGTGTATGCCTCTGTATATATGTACATATGCATATATATATATAGATATACATACACATACACACCTGTGTATGTATGTATTTATGTATCAGAAAGGACTCTTGTGAGGTGTAATTTTTCCGGTATTCAAGCGTCGGATGCTTGAGTTGTAGCGAAGTCGGGCATTGGATACTTCAGGTTAGCGACGGTATGGCGTACAGTAGGATTGGTATTAGTTTATATTGTATCGTGTTGTTGCGTTGTATGTTGTACGAGGCCAACAGTACAACACTCGCGCTTGGGGAGGGGGACGCATGTTTCGAAACATGCGGGATGTTTCGAAACACGCGCCCGCCACTAAAGTACGACCCACGACCCATTAACCCATTAACCCATCAACCCATTAACCCAATAACCCAATAACCCATTAACCCATTAACCCATTAACCC